CAGAGCTCCCCCTTTAGTCTCGGCGCGCTCCTCGCCTCGCGTTCAAAGTCAGGATCAATAGCAGGCTCGGGCTAACCTTGACCTCCCCCTCGACCCCGCCTCCCTCTGCAGCTGGCCCCACCGTTTTGTTCCTCTCTTGCCAAGCAACACACACACACGCACACACACACACAAAGCCGCTCCGCCGTCCCAGTCCCCACCCAGACTCCCCCTTTAGTCTCGGCGCGCTCCTCGCCTCGCGTTCAAAGTCAGGATCAATAGCAGGCTCGGGCTAACCTTGACCTCCCCCTCGACCCCGCCTCCCTCTGCAGCTGGCCCCACCGTTTTGTTCCTCTCTTGCCAAGCAACACACACACACGCACACACACACACAAAGCCGCTCCGCCGTCCCAGTCCCCACCCAGATCTCTGTCGATATCCCGGCCACAAGCGGTGACAGCAGATAAACAAGGGAGAGCGCTTGGGTTGGTCTCGGAGGGCAGCTGGAGTGGGGGGGGGGGGGGAGAAGAGACAGATAGAAAGAGGTAGAGGCATAGATAAATACATGAATAAATCCCCACCCAAACCACCCTCGTCTCCGTCACCTCCTCCTCCTGACTCCAAGCCCCCTCGCCTCCGATTGACTAGCCACAAGGCCGCCCAGTCACAATAAAAGGCTTCTTTCTTTCTTTCTTTCTTTCTTTCTTTCTTTCTTTCTTTCTTTCTTTCTTTCTTTCTCGACCCCCTCCTTTACCCTCCCCTCGTCCTTTTCCTTGAAGTCTTGCATTTATCTTCTTCGGAAAAAGGAAGGTGCCCATCAGTTGCCTCAAAATGGTGACACAAGCCGGCAAGTCACTGGACGACTTCCTTTGAAGACCTAAAATGAATGAATGGATGGATGATCAATCAGTCTACATTGGCTGAACTTTTAAAAAACGATTGATGAACTGCAGTCTTAAGCAGGCATTCAAATATTGCCCTCCCCGGTTTTAAGTGCTTTTTTGAAAATAAAAGAAAAAACCCTAAAAAACCTAAGATATACACATTCTGCCCACAGCGGAGTTGAGGCATGGTTTACTCAGAAACAAGTCGTATTGAACTAAAAGGGCGGAAACTTGACGCTGGGGAGGTCAGATTTCGCGACGGCACCATTCGTGTTATCACCTTCGCTTGGTTGCAAGTCGAAACAGATTTCCCTTGAAAGTAGATCGCATTGAAATCGATGGGACTTTCCTACCAGGGTGAAATCAGCCTCAGAGCCGGCCTCAAACCTTCAGGCACGCACACACAGACATATCCCCAGGGGTAAAGGTAAAGGTAAAGGTTCCCCTTGACAATTTTTGTCCAGTCGTGTTCGACTCTAGGGGGCGGTGCTCATCCCCGTTTCCAAGCCATAGAGCCAGCGTTTGTCCGAAGACAATCTTCCGTGGTCACATGGCCAGTGCAACTTAGACATGGAACGCTGTTACCTTCCCACTGAAGTGGTCCCTATTTATCTACTTGCATTTGCATGCTTTCGAACCGCTAGGTTGGCGGAAGTTGGGACAAGCAACGGGTGCTCACTCCATCACGTGGATTCGATCTTACCACTGCTTGGTCTTCTGACCCTGCAGCACAGGCCCCCTGGGGGGAAATAGGCTTTTAATCACAATGACACTTAAACAAGATAGAGTGCGGAAAACGAAGACTAATCTCGTAATTTGGGTGTGTGTGTGTGTATGAATTAAGCTCTAGTTTTTTCATCTCACGCGTATCAGATCAAAGTGATCCGGTGAAATCAAATCTCTCTTCCACTCTCAGCAACCAAAAAAAGCAAGAACTCAATATAGGACCGCGAATTATCCGCGTCACTATCCAGCATCCTGCGGCGAGTTAAATTTTCGACACAAGCACGTCAGTACCAAGGATAACTATAACCCAACGCGGCGCACCACCGGCCTATGCATGTCTATTCGGCAGAAGAACTCAATATAGGAACGCGAATTGTCCGCGTCACTATCCAACATCCTGAGGCGAGTTAAATTTTCGACACAGGCACGTTAGTACCAAGGATAACTATAACCCAATGCAGCAAACCACCGGCCTATGCATGTCTATTCGGCAGGCAGTCGCATTTGCAGCCTTCGGCGGCATCCGGTGGTTGGCGCTGGAGGCTCTCGCGGAGGCGCAAGCGCTGCGCCGGGCTTGGGGCGCGCAAGACCCGCTCCTGAGTCAGGGGCGCGGCGGGGAGCCCACTCGCACAACCAAACGCACACACACACGGCCTATGGAGGGCGGGGGGCGGGGTGCGCCCAAACCGCGGGGCAATGCTTTGAAAGCAGGGGCGGCTGCCCTAAACGCCCGAGCCGGCTGCTCTCGCGGTGGCTGCGCCCGCCCGGATCCTGTGCGGGTTTCAGCCTCAGCCGCGGCCGCGTTCGGGCGAAAGTTGACAAAGAGTTTCTGCCGGAACGCGGAGGAGCCCCGCCCGTTTCAGCGGCCGCGTCTCCGTCCTCCTCTCCAGCCAGCTTTTGCGAGATCGCAAAAATCAAATTAATTTTTTTAAAAAAAAAATCTTCCCACTCGGGAAATCCTCCTTTTGCGCTCTCTCTCCAACCCCCCACCCCAAAACAAATCGCAAGCTAGTGGACTCGGTTAGCGGTCCCTTC